AAATAAATCTTGTGATGGAAAACGAAATGTATATATGGGAATTAGCGTGACGTCTAAACGATCACCATTTCTATTCTATCCTCTGTTAGTATATGGATCACTCTTTCTACACTATCTTCTATCTCAATACTATTCACTATACTCATTATTATTTCACTATACGGATTACTATTCAGATCGCTATACGGTGGTTACTATTCGAGCGAGTATTATCGAGCAAGTACTATTTGCGCGAATGATATTCGAAGGCGTTTGGCACCAGTATTGTTCAACGGCGTTACTATAGTTGTATCTGCGATTACAAAGTCTCTACTACAATGAGCATTACGAAACTGACAATGAGTATTCGTTGACATTACAAACGTTTACATAAGGAAAGCTGCTTTCACTTATTAAAAGTAACTTCTAGGAACTTTAGGTAATAATATGATCCACATAGCTCACGATAAGCAGAAGCGCACACCCGATTTTGCTCTTTTATTTATTTATTTTTTCTGTTGTTTTTTTTTTCTTTCTTTCGTATTGGCTTACGGCTATGTCACACGGTGAAACACCGGCTTTCGTACGATCACCCAAGTTAAGCAACGATGAGTCTGGTCAGTTCTTAGATTGGTCACCACTTGCCAATACCATGTTCTGTAAGATGGGATGTGTGGATGGCGTAATGGATAACGACTCGGAATTGGAAATCGGAGAGCCGAGTTCGAATTCTAGTCGAGTTTGTTACATTCACTTACCCACAAATACCATTCGGAAAGGTATTAATCTACCTCTTCTCCTTTCTCCCAACTATGGATTAAATAGTCATATTGAATCAGAAAATCATTATTATCTCCCAAAATTGTTAGAAACTGTAAATATTTGCTGGCTTTAAATAACCTGCAAAAGATTGATAGGCCGTAAAAACTACTGAAGATGTGTTCCTTTTTACTTTCTTTTTAATAAAGTCCGTCCTGTTTTCTTTAATATATATTAAATAGATATATTAAATATATATATTAAATATAAATGATAAGATCTTACAATCAGTTTTTTGCCTTGAGGGAATCAATTCACTCATTATTATTGTAGGTATATATTATGAAGTTTATTTAGTAGTATAACGTGTGTAAAAGATATCTTTGAATATCATGTAGCAAGTTGCAGAAATAAATGGTAACACAATATTTTGGAAATGAAATGATTTATTTGTTCGCCAAATTCTTGTTTCTTTTACAGCATTAGCATAAACACAGTTAAAAGGGATAAATTAAACCGTGTTTTGCAAGTAAACCGTGAGACCCATAACTGATTTCAAGGAACAAACCGAATCTATCAAGCAGGTTTCTCTCTACCATGGGGTGTTGCAACGGCTCTTCAGGTAAGCTGAGACCTTGGGATGGCCAGCAATACGGTTGTAGAGGGCCATCAGTTTCGGGTAGCTGCTGAACATGGACTGGTTCTCCATAAACATGTTCTCCAAACAACAGTAGAACATCATGTCACACCACATCATCTGCAATTTTCAAAGGATGGAATTTATAATTTTATATAAACATTCAAAGATTGAAAGAAAAAAATATTTAATCATAGAATTTGCACATCAATACGAAATCAAAAATCACAAGTTTCAAATAAATATTATAAGAATTTGAACTGTATGTGGGACTTTACATTTCTATAGTGAGATATATAAGGAAAAAGTACTTCAAGTTTTATACGGTGGCTTATGTTCCCATACGATTAGCGAAGTTAAGGAACGTCGAGACGGATCTGTTCCTAAATGGGTGACCGCTTCGGAATATCAGGTCCTGAAAGTTTTGGCGCGGGAGTTATAATGGAAAATGGCTCAGAATTATTAGAGAGTTCCAATTCACTTAGGCGCTAATACACTTGGGAATGATATAAATCCTCCTCTTCTCCCCCTCATCTATGGGTTAATTAGTAAAACTTGTATCACTAAGTTATTCAGTCAATTGAGTACTATACGCGATACACGCTTGGGCGATTATGTCTCCTCCGATTCATGACAGTAGATTGACGTTACTTTCTAAAGTAGAGTGGTTGCCATCCAATGCTATAGGACACATCAATCCTTCACTGGGAGAAGAAGAAATGGATTCGTAATTGTCCCAAGGGTAGTTACGCGTAAGTGAATGTCACGAACCCTATTGCGTTATACCAAACGTATATTAGATGTGGCACAAGGCCGCAAATATGGAGCTCCCAGTGAGAATGGAACGCACGAGCTACTCGTAATTGACCTAGCGAGGTAAGCTTTCTAACTATTACATCATAACGATGGATCCAAGGTGATTTACTAAGCGTAGCTTAAATGTGGCACAAGGCTATAAGATTGGAGCACCCAGTGACGATGAATCTCACTATTCAGGTGTAAGTGATCGAACGAGACAAGCTTATTAACCATTACATCATGTCGATGTGTCTATAAAAATGATTTACTAATCTTAGCCTAGGTGTAATACAACGCAGTACTCTTCGAGCACCTAGTGGTGATCGAACTCCTTATATAACTGACCAAGTGTAACAAGCTCATTAACCATCACATCACTTCGAATTGCCCAGAATTGTAAATGCTATGCCAGGAATGGTCCTCATATCATGTGATCGTAAATTATCGGTTGGAGGTGTAAACACGTCTTAACTTAAAAGGCGCTACCCTGTTTAGTAATCATCTGCTTTTCAGTTAACTGAATTTAACATGACCCCCTAATGGCTAACGCAATGTATATATCTGTTCATGGGCTGGAGCAGTCCGAGAGAATCGTAGCTTGCGTTCGATAGGTTTGAATCTTATTTATCTGTCTATATTTCTGAGATGAGGTATTATGTACACTATTTACATTATTCGGACTATTGTCCTCATCTTTGTTGCCATATTTATTACAACGTTTCAGCCCTTCAGTATCTGTCTATATTTCTGAGATGAGGTATTATGTACACTATTTACATTATTCGGACTATTGTCCTCATCTTTGTCGCCATATTTATTACAACGTTTCGGCCATTGTACGCTCCGGACTTCTTCAGGTGGTTGGAATGCCGAACTGAACCATTTATTTCGCTCACTAGGGTAGACTATTCTAGTTCCACATGCCATGTTTAATGGATGTCAGTTATAAGTTATCTCCTGTTAATTCTCCTCTCCAATTTCTCCACTGCCTTAACCGCCCTGTCACTGGATTTAACCAACGACTTTATCCACTGTGCCATGTGTCCTTGAGAAACGTTGTAATAAATATGGCGACAAAGATGAGGGCAATAGTCCGAATAATGTAAATAACGAATCTTATTTATTTTAAGTTTGAAGTATGAGACAGTCAAGATACGTGGGAATAAGTTCAATCAGGATTCATCTTAATGGACTTTCCTGATATAAAATTATTTCTGAATTAGATCCATCTGCAATTTATTTATTTATTTTCATTTATTTTTTTGGTAAAGTTTACCCGGTACAAGGCCCGGGGGTCAGTAGTGGTATATGGTTACGTTATTGGGTAGTTTATACGGATAGGAGAGGCAGATAACGGTTAACACTAGACTTGAAAAGGTTTAGATTGTAGTGATCGAGGAAGCAACCTCTTGGGGGTCAGTCTGTTCAACAGAGCCGTGGATATTGCCCAGAATTAGATAATATACAATACAGATATTGAGCTCTCAACTTGTAAATTACTATTAAGTAGTGTTGGGTCTTTTTAACCACAGAGTTCTTTGGATTATTGTGCTCCAATTTCTCATTTATTCATATAGATTCCATATACAGGTTTTACTTAATTAGCTATTATGTTTCTCTAACGCTAATGTTGGTTGTATAACTAACTTTAATTTTTGTTTTCCCATTTTTAATTATATTGATTTTATATCATAAATTGCCCCTTTTTCTGTCACACATGAAATAAAAATAATTGTTTGTACGAAAAATAAACATCTACGCATATCAAATCGTCTATAAAATTAAGTGCCAGTGGAAGAATTATCGTTGAACTTTTAAAAGATAAGCCTAAATATTAATTCAATACTTAAATGCAGCGATCGATTTTGAGTTCTTCTGTAGTTTATTGATGCCTAGCGCATCTACTCCTCCTTAGCTATTGTGATGATGGTCAAACCAAGAGTTCTCCACAGGAGCTAGCTTAAACGCCGCCCGATAGGACGGCTTATAAGTTAGTTTATAATGAAACGTACACTGCAATTTTGGATACAAAAAGAAAATAAGAGTTACTCCCTTTGAACCATGAAAGCAACGATAATGGCTAGTATGATATATTAATATATATTTTTAGCCTCGCATAATCTGGCAAACCTGAATCGGAGCTCAACGAAAATCCTTCCCTGTGCCTAACTTTTCTAGGGTTTTTGAATGAGCTATGAAACATTGAAATCGGATCAGTGGGAGCGGAGTAGTTGCTTAGCCACACAGACGCACAAAAATACACACATACACTGTACTTTATATATAAGAGATAAGATAAAGAAACTTACCATGTCTCCCATGAAGAAATTGTTTCCACCATTGCGCATGCTCAGAGTCCTTTCCATGAAGGGCATGATCCTGTTGAAGGTGTTCATGTATCTCCATTGCATGTAGTTCTGAAATTGATAAATATATAAGGATGTTTTAATCTAGAGCTTTCAAGGAAACTTCATAATAAAAAACCACAATGTTGTATATTGTCTGCGTTTGATTAGAAAGTGTTAGATGAAAAAAAAATGGCAAATAAAAAATCAAGACTTACGTCGTAGTTGCTGCAGTTGCCCTCACCTCCGAAGCCGTAGTCGTTCATGTTGTACTGGGAAAAGAAGAAAAGAAAGATAATAACTAGGGAAATTGAAAGGATTTCAAATGGCACAAGGAACAGTAGAATAGAGAGATATTATTCGACTGATAGATAGATAGATAGATAGATAGATAGATAGATAGATAGATAGATAGATAGATAAATTTGAATAGGCATATATTAAATAGAATGAGATATATAGATAGATAGATTTCAATAGACTTAGATATTAAATAGACTGAGGTAGATAGATTTGAATAGACTTAGATAGATAGATAGATGCGAACAGACTGCGATAGATAGATAGATAGATAGATAGATAGATAGATAGATAGATAGATAGATAGATTTGAATAGGCATATATTAAATAGAATGGGATATATAGATAGATAGATTTGAAGAGACTTAGATATTAAATAGACTGAGATAGATAGATAGATAGATAGATAGATAGATAGATAGATAGATAATATAGATCGATACATAGATAGATAAATTTGAATAGACATATATATTAAACAGAATGAGATATATAGATAGATTTGAATAGACATAGATAGATAGATAGATTTGAATAGACTTAGATAGATAGATAGATAGATAGATAGATAGATAGATAGATAGATAGATAATTTAGATAGATGCATAGATAGATTTGAATAGACTGAGGTAGATAGTTTTCAATAGATACATAATTAAATAAATAAATTTCAATAGGCTGAAAGAGATAGATAGATAGATAGATAGATAATGCAAGCGTAAATGATTTTATAGAAGTAATCACTATTTACAAAGAAATACGACATTCGTCTTAGCTAATGTCTTTTAACATTAATGATCATTTTACTATAGCAACTTTGCTTATCCATCTCTATAGACAGAGTGTTGAAAGATGTCGGTATGAAATGTTGAGTAGATTTGAAATAACTGACTCACCCTGAAGCGGCCGTTCTTCCAGTGCAAGTACCTCATGTAATCGTGCATGATTTCATACATACAATCACTGATGTAGTCACACCTGAACATGTCCATGGGACTCTTGGGGTAGAAACCTGCAGAAACGAATTAATACCTATAGAACATATTTATCCATCATATATTTGTTGAAATATTTTACTACGTCTATTTTGAATCATTTATTCACCAATATACGATTTTCCGACTAAGGTTGGGATATTGATTAATATTGTTTAATATTACTTACTATTGATTAACATTGATTAATATTACTTAATTTTAATATTGCATAATATTACTTAATACTGATTAGATTACTATTGCTTAATGTTACTTAATATGGGTTAAGATTATTTATTATTGCTGAACGTTACTGAATTTTAATATTTCATACTATTACTTAATTTTGATCAATATCAATTAATGTCGATTATTATTGCTTAATATTATAAATATTTATTTAAATTGCTTCATATTACTTTATATTGATTAATATTGTTTAATATTGTGTGATATTCATTAATATTAATATCCAGTTTTGAAAAACTTATGGAATTTAAAAGAAATTGTCGACTATACGAAAACAATTGTAATATACAATATATTTATGTTTTATGTTTAATTTCGAACGTTTATTCATTATCACTTAAAGTATTGCATGACAAGCCAAGTGATTCTGCTACCATGTAACCCAGTAAAATTTGCTGCATGGTCGTGTCAACAGCGTATAAAGCTGTTCTCTTATCAGACCATCTCTGTTGCATACGGTGTCTATACACTCAGTAGGATTAAAGACGAAACATGTCAATGGGTGGAAGAACCTTCTTGGATGGTCAAATCCATCGATCACAATGCAGTGAACTGGAATATATACCTATCTATTAAAGACGAGACATGTCAATGTGCGGAATAACCTTCTTGGAGGGTCAAATCCATCTAGCACAATGCACCAGACTGGAATCTATAGCTATGGATTAAAGACGAGATGTGTCAATGTGCGGAAGAACCTTCTTGGAGGGTCAAATCCATCTAGCACAATGCACCAGACTGGAATCTATAGCTATGGATTAAACACGAGAAGTGTCGATGGGCGGAAGAACCTTCTTGGAGGATCAAATCCATCTAGCACAATGCAGTGGACTGGAATCTATAGCTATGGGTCCAGTGACTGCATTGATGAAACAGTCTCGCAATACGGAAGTCTAGGATGACTCGTCAATCGAATCAACGGTCACTTATGCTTGGCCAATGCGAACTCACAAATTGGTGGATATCGCCAGTGGTTTGATGTGGATAGGAATTGAGGCTTGTCCCATCTAAGCCTAAATGGATACTACACATGCTTTCAAACCAGATATTTGGCGGGAACTTGTTAGATGTTATACTACATAGTGACTCTACGACTTCAGCTTGTTATGGCACTAATGACCATGATAATAAAAATATTAATGTTGATAATATCAATCATAGCTAAAAGATTATAACGACATTTGAGACTTACCGTGTTCACGAGCCAAATACCTACAAATGGACATGGTCTCGGGCATCATGTCGCCATTGTCCATTTGCAGACAGGGCAGGTACCTGCAGGGGAAATCTGTAAAAACAATTAATAATTAATTAATAATTATAATTAACGGTTTTTGTGTTTTTTGCTTTTATTATATTACTCTAAGCAAAGAGATAATATCACAGGAACGGGAGAGAGCTATGGTAGAAAGATTTATTCTCACATTTATATTTCCCCCATTATGAGCATTATTATATCTGTTATATAATAACACCGTAGCTTACGAATGGAACGGAATGATCGAAAGGAAAAAATAGGCCAAACATGCTTTATTCTCAGTGAAACTTTTACATTACTAAGGCAAAGAGAAAAATATATATACAAATATACAAGTACTACACACAGAGAATAAAATATCACATATATCTACACAACAAATCAGAGTATAAGGAGAAACAAAACCGAAGGATTTTACATATAATATGGAGATACTCCTGTGTCTGGAGAAGCTATGTTTAGGGCTCCAATTCAAACGAGCCGTATTCATCTATGTCCCAGGCACACAAACGGGAAAAATCGAGTCTTGTTGTTTACCCAAATTAAAAACTGCGATCTGGAGTGTCGTTATATATTTAGGAACCGTTACTATGTGTTTGTAAGTTGCTGGAGGGGGGCAGATTTAGCTTCACCCTGGGTCCCATGACTGTAAACAAACTGTATTTGACTGCCCCATTCATCACTATATGAAATGACGTTACTAAGCGGATGCCATGTGTCTCACATGACATATCTCCTCCAAAAAATATAAGCGCCTCCTTTATTAACCACAAAAACATGGCGCCGTGTGTTATTGAGAATGAAAAAAATTTAGTGAGGAGAAACGTCAATAAAATAACAAGTATTTAAGAACGCAGAACATGGCGACCGGCTTTGCATTTAGATTTTTGAAGATCGTAGGTGAAACGGAAGTAAGAATCGGGAAAAAATTTCTACAGACAAGCAAAGAAACTATTAAAATACAACTTACGATTATCACTTGCGATTTCAATAGTAAAATGATAAAACCTAGTTGCCAACCTTGTAGTACGTTTTATTTTTATTAGTATTCATAGAATACTAATAAAAATAAGACGTTTTACGGCGTAACGCCGTAAAACGTCTTATTTTTATTAGTATTCTATGGTGGTGTAATGGAATCGAAATTAGAAATCAGAGATCTAGATCGAATTACACAGGGCTTCATTATATTCATTTACGAGCAAATAACCTTGCTAAAGTGGTTCACATCTTCCTCGTCGTAGTCATGGGTTTAATTTATATGACTCTATCATGAATAAAAATGACAATAGGAAAACTGGTAATTGCTGACGCGTTTCGTCCAATGTGGACTTTATCAAAGCAAAATACGAAAATGAAATTAAATGAACAACGTAACTAATAAAAACGCGTCAGCAATTACCAGTTTTCCTATTGTCATTTTTAGTCATAAATATTGTCTTCTCTACCGATTAAATCGGAGAAATTTTCACACACATGACTCTATCAGCAAAGTTATTATTATCTACAAATAAATTCCTACAATTTAAAAATATGTCCTGTCTTTAAAAAAAAAAAACCTTCAAAGATTTTATAAGCCGTAAAACGACAAATGTGATATGTCCCGGAAAGGGATATATTTGTTCGAAGTAGCAAAGTGGTTTTGGAATACTGTAAACGAGTAGGACAATCTAGCATGTAACCGTAATAGATTGGTCCTCGTCGTAGTGGTAGGCAATAGGCGTAGTCAAGAGACGTAGTCTTGAGCCTCCACATCAGTCTGTATTTATGGCTGACACCAGCCAATCATATTACTGTGAGGCAGGAACCACGGTGTATGCATGTTCATTAGATCAGAATGTTTCTCCGATCACTAAGGTCTTAACCTGTTTAAGTCTAGCCATAACTATTACGTTACTCTCCTATCCACCCCAACTGCTTCCTAACGTAACTTTCGACCTTGATAATCAACAACTCAATTAATCTACAAGAAACCATCTTAGACAAAAGAACAAACAGAGAGGCGGGGGGATTGGCCGACAACCTCATTGGGTGGACTAGAAAATACTTCACAGTAATTCCGAAATTGGCAAACGAAACATATCGAGGGAGCATGCCATAAGCTTTTTCTTAATCATTATCTAAAAATAAATTTCTACGATTTAAAAATATTTCCTGTCTTTAAAAAAAAAAAAAAACTTTAAACATTTTAAAAGCCGTAAAAAAAAAAAACAAATGTTTCCCAATCAGTAAAATCTTGACCTGTTCAAGTCTAGACGTAATCGTTATCTTACGCTCCTATCCACCCAAACTGTCTCCTAACGTAACCCTCTATCTCGATAATCCACAAATCAATCAATCTACAAGAAACCATCTAAGACAGTAGCAGAACAACCGGAGAGGCGGGGAAACGTTACTGGGTGATTCAGATTATTGACAAAATGAAACATATTCGAGGCATCGGGGTATATGCTTTTATCTTAATCAATAAGCTAGGCGATAATGCTTCTAGGACTCAAGGGGCTACTGAGAGCAAATGCGAAAAGATATTAAAAAGAGCCGGGAAAATGAGAAAATCCTCGACTTCTGTTCAAAAGAAAGGGGAAGAATGTGAGCAGAACAATAGGAGGATGTATCTAATCCTATTGGAGATAAATAAATAAATAGTAAATAAAAAAAATCAGAATTTATGTATAGATAGATAGATAGATAGATAGATATTATCACACTGGTATATTGCCTAGCAATGAACAGGCTGTGATAGATAAATAAATTGATAGATAGCTAGACATTAATATACTGAGAAAGGCTTAACTGAGAAAGGCTGAGATAGATAGATAGATAGATAGATAGATAGATAGATAGATAGATAGATAGATAGATAGATAGATAGATATTATCACACGGGTATATTGCCTAGCAATGAACAGGCTGTGATAGATAAATAAATTGATAGATAGCTAGACATTAATACACTGAGAAAGGCTTAACTGAGAAAGGCTGAGATAGATAGATAGATAGATAGATAGATAGATAGATAGATAGATAGATAGATAGATAGATAGATATTATCACACTGGTATATTGCCTAGCAATGAACAGGCTGTGATAGATAAATAAATTGATAGATAGCTAGACATTAATACACTGAGAAAGGCTTAACTGAGAAAGGCTGAGATAGATAGATAGATAGATAGATAGATAGATAGATAGATAGATAGATAGATAGATAGATATCACACTGGTATTGGCCTAGCTATGAACAAGCTGTGACAGAGAGATAGAAATATACGAAGGATTTATACATGAACGACCAACAGCCCAGCTATCGTCTGTTACTGGAGAAATTATAATTTTCATAAAATGGTAACATGAAAATTCTTGGAAGTTAGAGAAACGCGTAGATTTAACAAATACCAAACAGAAAATTCCTTACCATTCCTGCAGCGGTCCCAGTCAGAGAATTCATATCTCTTGTCCATGTACTTGCAGCCAGCGATGGCCATCATCATACGAAGGATTTCGGCACGGCCGCGGCCATTGAAGTAATGGAGAGTGTAGTTAGGCATGGTGACTTTGCTTTCTGCTTGTCGACTACCAAAGAGAATGAAGCGGTTCGAGTGACTGGATGTCTTCTCTGACGAAGAAGCAAAGGCCGGAGTTGGTATATATACCTTCAGGTTAATCAAGTTGTTAGCGTCAATGACTAGGTTGGCGCTAACCTGTCCAAGGCCGCCTATTCAATATTCCCCACTTGATGGCGTTTAATTTCAGCTGTACTTTAACAACGACAAGAATGCAAATCACAAAACAAAAGTCCCTGTTTGATTATATCTTTTAAAGTCTCAGATTATCTAAAAATAGTTTCCTGTTTGAGCGAAAATTGCTCGCGTTTTCAAAGTAACTCAATCATTGCGCGCTGACTCAGTGTGTCTGTTATTCATTTTTCTACAGTCTGATGATTAATAGCACAAATTAATTCACTCCGAGATAAACAGATTCGCTTATGGCTTAAGGCGCGGCGAGCTGTGTGGCAGAAATCCGAAGACCCATAGAATGTGGAACACGTGAACTTTCGAAGTCTTCTTCTTCTTCTTCTTCTTCTTCTTCTTCTTCTTCTTCTTCTTCTTCTTCTCTTCCTCTTCTTCTTCTCCTTCTTCTCTTCCTCTTCTTCTTCTTCTTCTTCCTTTTTTCTTCTTCTTCCTTTCTTCTTCTTCTTCCTTCTCTTCTTCTTCTTCTTCTTCTTCTTCTCTTCCTCTTCTTCTTCCTTTCTTCTTCTTCTTCCTTTTCTTCTTCTTCTTCTTCTTCTTCTTTGGGGCTTATCCTTTCAAGATGTATGTGACAGACCATCCACAATTTGCTGTTCTTTGTAGCTCTTAGCATTTCTTATCATTCTGCTATCTTTCCTAACCCCTATTATTATTATTATTATTATTATTATTATTATTATTATTATTCATTTTTATTATTATTATTATTATTTCCTTCGGTTTCTGTTGTATAATCACTTCTTTCCGGGTCCCGATCAGAGTCCTAAGGTCAGAAATGCCATCATGGCATTTTCCACCGAGCAGTTCGTTAAAAAATCGCACGTATTTTACATAGATAAAGCCCTTTGTAAGGTATGGGCCACACTTGTGAGTATTTTTTTTTTCTTTAAGGCTACTAGGGATTCCGTCAATGAGTCTAGTGGAATCTTTTCCAATCAATCCTAGGGCTTCAATTACAACTGGAATTGTTGATATTCTCATGTGCCACATTAGAGATTTCGATTTAAAGCTCCTTGTATTTTGATGGCTTTTTGAAGATCTTCAAAAATACATTACAGTCTGCAGGGACTGCCATGTCAGTGAGGAAGCACATTTTGTCTTTGCAGTCTCTAATCACGATGTCAGCACGATTAGCTTTATTATTATTATTATTATTATTATTATTATTATTATTATTATTATTTCTTTTGAGTTGTATACACATTTCCTTCCAGAGATCTATGGTCAGAAATGGCTTCATGACATTTTCTAGTGATCAGTTGTGCAAAAACGCAAAAGAAAAAAGAGCATACACATTTTATATAGACCAAGTACTTCATAATGTTTGAGCTGTACTTGTGAGTAAAATTTGTTGTATTTCATTAAGGCATTGGCTATCGGGAACCTTTTCCAATCCATCCGAGGGATCCGAATACAAGTGGAATTTTTGATGTCCTCATGTGCCACATTTTTTAGATTTCCGCTTCAAGTTCCTTGTATTTAATAGTTTTTTTTAATTTATCATTTCGCATTGATTTCTATTGTATATTCATTTCCAACCAAAGATCAGAAATGGGCTCGTATAATTTGGTAGTCTGCAGGGTTTGCCATTTTGGCACATTTTGTCTTTGCGATCTCTAATCACGATGTCAGGGCCTTTAGCTTTGATTATTCTGCCTGTGTGTTTCGTAAAATCCCATAAAATTGTTACAGTCCCTGCCTCCGTAACCGAGCCTGGCTGATGTTCATACCAGTTTCTTGCAGTTTTTTTTGTGGTTCATGTTGCAGATTTTCCAGTGCAGACGTTGGCCCAATTTGTCATGCCGTGTGGGCGCCAATACAACCCAACCTGATACAAAATTGTTTCTGGATATTTATCACAGAATCTGTAATTTGGACTAACGCAATTATTATTATTATTATTATTATTATTATTTTCTTTGATTTCTGGCGTTTACACATTTCTTTCCGGGTCCCGCCCAGGGACCTAAGGTTAGAAATGGCAACATGACACTTTCCACTGAAAAAAAAAAAAAAAAATTGCATAGATAAAGCCCTTCGTAAAGTGTGGGCTGTACTTGTGGGATCAAGCATGTTTGGATTGAGGTTAGGTCTTATATCATTTCCCACCATACTTCTCCATATTTGGTATGTTTGATTGGTGGTGTTCTTTGCTGGGTTTTCGAGTGCAGTGAAGAAGGATGTCATAGCATGTCGATACTCTTCGCGGCTCCATTTTGTTCATTTACTTTTTATTAGTCGATTTGGTATTGAGTCACTTGCTCCAAGGTTGGCAAAAATCCGGGTTTTGTGACCTAGTGTCTCTTCGTGTATGGAAGAGTTTTTTACCAGTGACAGATTTTTCGTCCTCAGACTGGTTCCTCTCCGAGGGACGCGGCCCTTGTTGTTCCGGTTGACGGCCGATCCGGTATGAAATTTTATTCGTATTCATTGAAATTGGTAGAGATGCGTTTTAACCTTGACCGCCAAGGGGTAATTATGTTCAGGTTACCAGCTTTAGGACGAGTCTCGAGGAAGATCCAAGAGCACGCCCAAACAATGAGATTGGTTGCAATGTGGATTTATTAATATATCGAAGGTAGAATAGTTATTATTATTATTATTATTATTATTATTATTATTATTATTATTATTATTTTTTGGGTTTCTGTTATATACATATTTACTTTCGGGTCTAAAAAGAGACCTAAGGTCAGAAATAGCTTCATGACATATTCCACTGATCATTTCTTGTAAAAAATTAAAAATAAAAACATATGATCAGGCATATTTTACATTTATAGATAAAGCTCTTCGTAATATATCAGCTGTACATAGCAGTACACTTTTTTTATAATTCTTTAAGGCAATGTTTCTCAACCATTTTAAGCAAATGTCACAGCAAAAGGAAATCTTAGGGAAGACTCAGCAAATTTTGAAAGAGTATACATTTAAATGTTATGAAATAAAACCAAAGATTAAAAAAAAAAAAAGACACACACAATTATGAATCATTTTTATGTTCATTTTATGCAAATTTCAAAGTAATATACTTTTAAAAAATTAGAAAATTATTAAATCAAATGCTTATTGCTACTTATCGGACGCTTTGACAATATTAATTCATAATTCAATTAGTAAAAAAAAATAATTAAACACCGAGTGTTAAATAAAATAATGTGAAAAAATGTTTAATATTCATTTATTCAAATAAAGGAAAATAAAAAAAAATATTTTTAAAAAATGAATATTAAAACAAAGTATTTTAATCAATCCCCAAGTAGGCATCGACGCGGAATCTTACTTATAAAACGCAGATTGTGTGTGTGTGTGTGTGTGTGTGTGTGTGTGTGTGTGTGTGTGTGTGCGTTTATATATTAGATCGGATTTCCTACATTTTTCAACCAATTTCAACAAAACTTCACAGGACTGCGTAAAATGACCTTGCAGTGGTTCTGACAGCGCTAAAGATTGGAAAAACAATTGTTTTTGCACGAAATCGATTTGAAAACACGATTCTGTCGCCAGAATGAAAGGGGGGAAACTCATATCGAGTTATACTTATTATAAAACCCAGGTTGTTTGTGTGTGTGTGTCTGTGTTCGTTTATATATGGGATCGGATTTCCTACATTTTTCAACCGAATTCAACAAAACTTCACTTTTTTTTGTCAGGTAGTGTTTCTTCTTGTCTTGCACACTTTTTTCCTTATTTTTACATTCAGAATGCTTTAAAAATTCCATTTACAAGACAATTGTTTATAATAAAATTCTATTCAATCGGTAGACTCATAACGATTGAAAACAATGTTTTTGTTAGAGTTTGGGTTTGACCAATTCGTAAAAAAAAAAAAAAACTAATTAAGACATGCGTGTCCGTCAACCTTAAACAATAATCTTTGTCGATTTTTATTTTTCAGTCTTTATGATGGTCGATACTTGATCTATATCTTACTGTTACATCCCGGGCAACGCCGGGCTCTCCTGCTAGTATATTAATATTTACTCCTGTCGCAATAGTAAATCTGGTATCGTTGACAAAATGCTAATCTTGAAAAGGAATTCCAGTCTGTGGTTGACTGGGGCAGAAAATGGCTTGTAAACTTTAATGCCTCCAAAACGAAACTGCTCTCCTGCTACCCACGACAGAGAAAGCCTTCCAGCCTCCCATCAGAATGGCTGATTCCTAACTCTTTGAGAGCGCCTCGTTACGCCTGCTTGGCCTCACGCTGTGTACTAACATGAGGTCGAATAAATATCAGGTCATCCCAGCCAATTCCTGCCCCAGTTCACAACCGATTAGAGGACCTTTTCGAGACGCACGGCCAGGTTAGTTTTGTCAGTGACACTAGATTTGATTTTGAGGCAGGAATAAATTGTGGTGTCATCCGCGTAGATGCCAACTTGGGAATTTAAAGCTTGTCTCCCCCAGTCCCCACCCCAACAGACAAGAGAATAGCAACAATACGAAGTTTAGAACTGATTTAATGCCTAGCCACCGTTTGAAAGGTGGGTACACACTTGAAATTATTTTTATATCTACCATGAAACATTACATACCAATTATTTGAGAATTTTGAGTCAGGACCTCAGGAAAAAGGGTTTAAATTGTTCAGGAATGCAGAGCTCAAATCGTTAATGCGTATTTCGTCGGAGAAGCGCATGTACTCTTTGGTTTCTTTATTTTAAACTGAAAGAAAGACAAAACTGTGTGTGAGAAAAACTTCTTGGTATTGTTGAGGATTGTTACATTTTATAAATGTAAATTACTAATTTCCACACTTAGACGGTGTTTGTCCGCCTGTGTGCTTTTACTTACAC